ATTCAGGTGATTGATAATCATGTAGGGTAATTGGAACCGGCATTATGAAAATCACATTTTCATGTTGCGTAGAATTTGTGTTATTGGCAGAAGAGAAATAACGGAGACCATTGGAACAGGGAAGAGCTGATTCAGTGGTGACATTGATCGGACACAGGACAACTAAATACAGGTCCGGTTCGCGTCGGCAAAGATTGGTGGGGTGGGAATCCTTCAACGAATATAATTATGTGTCCGAGCCTTTCATTAATGGGTTAATGTAACTGCCTGCCGATTGATACCGGAGCTAGGACGCACTGATCAGGGTGTGTCAGCCGAGTTGTCGAACGAGTATTCCCGAAGAACGTGCTCGGACGACAGAGGTAGGTAACTAATACTAATGGAGTGGGAGGTGTTGCTTACCGCTGCTATACTTTTTCCTCTCTTATTAGATAGAGACAAGAGAAGATAATTGAGAAAATATTAGACGTGACTCGAGCGTTTACGCTGGCAGGTCCATTTGTCTTACCTGAATAGGCAATTAAAAAAAAAATATCTGCGAATGTAACATCCCACTTGTGCTTTGCAAAAGGACATTGACAAATAAATGGTTCGAAGAAAGCGATATTTAATGGCGTCTGCGGTAAACGTGCAACTAACTTACAGAGATAAATTTATCTAGTTTTCTATTACGGTGAACTTTACAAAGCACGAGATCACTTCAAGGTAGAGAAGTATAATCAGTAAAATGTTAATGGAGGTTATGATAAAAATTTGAAGAGAATGTCATAAATAATGACAGTTGTGGCAACGATGATGAAAGATGGCGATTTATCCTTGACTAGAAGTGGTCAAGATTTAAGCGTTCAGGGGAAAAACCATGCTGGGATTTTTCCCACATTTTTATTCAAAAATGAAACCAAATAAAAAACGGAACCCTCGCCCCCCAAAATTAGATCATTATAGCTAACAAAAAGATAATCCTAATTGCGATCTTTGAAAAGAATATAAGAGAAATTGCTAAAAGATGAAGAACAGAAGGATAAAGAAGAATTATCACCATGCACCCAAGCGATGAAGTGAGCAAGATTAAAGTATTTATGGAATCAGTCATGCCGTATATATATATATATATATATATATATATATATATATATATATATATATATAGTTTTAAGGTGTCTATATTTATGGGACAAAGTGTTCGCTATCAGAGCGTATGTAAATATAAATATAAAAAGTGAACATTGAAGTCAACACTCAGAGGCGACAGGCTGTTTTTTATGCTGAACGCAATCGTCAAGTCGCCTGGTGATTGCGTCCAGCATGAAACAGCCTGTCACACTTGGGTGTTGACTCCAATGTTCACTTTTATATATATATATATATATATATATATATATATATATATATATATATATATACCAGGTGTTACACCATAATTGCCCATCCCACAAAATGTCTAATATCTAGAAAAAAAAAAAACTCTAAACTAACTGGATTTCTTTTTTCCAGGTTTTCAGATAAGACCTCTATCTTGATAACATTTGACGTATCACTGAAAACCCTTTGAGTTATTCAGAGAAAAAGAGAACAGGTTAAAATCGCAGTTCCACTCCTTTCTCAAATGTGAAATGGTGAGAGGAAAAAGTTCATTTAGGCCTTCAGTTATGGAACGACATTTCATAATCTGTCTTTTGTTTTAAAGTCAATTCAAGTATCATCAGGAGAACAGTGAATAAGTTTTAAAAAGAGGGAAGAGTTGAGAGGAAAACTGGATCAAGAGGACACAACTGCAAGATAAATAATCATTGCCATTTAGAGCGAAAGAGATGAATTAGAAAAGATCCAACTCAGTTCATAAAATGTTAGGCACGTTACAGCCCAAAAAGCATTGAAAAAAACTTGAAAATAAAATCGTACGTGAAACGCGTGAGTGACATTTTTACTACAGGAGAGAAATGTAGAAGTTAAGAGAGGGCGAAGATCTTCATGAATAATGATCCT